GTCAGAATCAGATAAGAAGTTTATAGGAAGTTCATATGAAATTGGTAAGAAACTGATAAGATTCTTATAAGATATTCATAAGAAAGTGACAAGACCGCTTGTTACTTTCTTATGAATATCTTATAAGTTTCTTATAAGAATCTTGTCAGAACTAGTGAATTTCTTATCACTCCCGTGCAGCATCTTATATAAGAATCTTATCAGAAACTTATAAAAAGCTGATAAGTATTTTGTATGTTTCTTGTGAGTGCCTTATAAGATCCTTATATAAGAGTGGATGTCTAGGGTACTTACCTATAATGTATATCGGTTTTCTGTGTATCGTCTTCTAATCCACTTAGCCATCCCTTCACATAAATATCCGACATCTTTTCACCCATTATTGATACATCTTGTAAAATAACGTCACTTGTATTCCAAACAATACAGCGTAATACAAAACTGAAAAATAAAAAGATCTTTCAGCTCTATTATCTTCTTGGTATTGTAATAACTAAAGTTAGTTATATCTCGCGCTCTTTTCAATCGATTTAAATCGTTTATTTGTTAGATACTCCATACCATCACACAGAAAAACGTTGTCTCTCACAGAGCTGGTCCGAGACACTCAGGATTGGGAAGGACAAGCGAAATCTTTTTAACGATTTTTTCTACAAACTAAACTGCTTTTTCACAGAAAACTTTTTTGAGATGGTCTACTGAAAATTTGTTCCTGAGCGAGCCTTTTTTTCATATGGGTGGCGAATAAACATTATTTTCAATTAGGGGACAGGGGTTTACCCGTCAGATCACACACATACACCTACTCGGGGCCCACATCAGATCTCTCATAAGCAGCATACTTTGTTACCATCGATAGACTATAATTGTGAAGAATCTTTGATCTACCGCTACGAAAAGTTTTACAGAAATTTTTCCATCGAAAAAGTAAATCCCAACTAAAACAGTGAGATCTCAGATCCTTTTCTTCTAAGAAGTAGAAAAAACTTTAAAAGAAGACTACCTCTTTGAGTCAGAAAGGATAATGCTTAAGGGGAATCACTCCCCTATATGTGCCCTCAAACAATGTCAGTTTGAAGAGGACATCTGATTACATATATCCTTCAGTTTTTTCGATGAACTGATAGCTATTCACAGTTATTAACTAATTAAGCATAAATTAAAATTAAAATTTAAGGCTCTAGTTCTCATTTTAAAAAACTCGTAGGTCAGTCAGAACGAATCCTAGGAAATGTATTCATACATTGTTTGATAGCCAATAGTCTGTTGTTATAGCTTGATGAATAAAGTTTTAAAAAGATTTTTCTAAGGCAGTAATTTATAATTAATCAACGTTATTGAATACTAATTAATATCACTGTGGTGCCTTACACTTTTGTTTGCAAATTAACAGTTTATTGGAAACGGTGAAGTAATACGTCATTCGAGAGAGATTTCCAACCGCTACAAATTCCTGTATTTGGCTCTTCAAAATGTTACCGATAAGCAGTTATTTGGTCTAAACCAAACGTTTATTAGAGACCAATCGCCTATGCATTATAGATCTCGATTCCCAATATAGTGAATACAAAGAACGAACAAGAGAGAATGAAACAGCAGTTATCTATACTCGGTTTTAGGCAAACAGGGCTTCTACTATGGATTTCTGCATAGAGCTGCCATGGATGTTTTTAGAATAACTCGAGAGCGAGAAGAAATAGAGAGTTCGGGTTTTCAGCATTTTGCAGAGAAGGCTTTACGCTATCTTGACAAATATTGTGCACGACAAATCTCGGTTTTTCAGATGATGTACCTGATTGATGAAAAGAGGTATTCCCAGATTCTGAACCTACGACGAATTTTTAATTGTAACATAGTGGCTAGATAGTCCAAAGTGGCGTCTAAAATTCTACGCAAGGCCGATCTCTCTATATGTTGTGGTTCTCGAATGGCAGTCATTTTCCTGTATCACTCGTAATTCGTTATCATTTCGTCGGGTAAATGCCTGCTATTCGAAAATCACAACAGACGGAGAGGTTGGCCTTGTGTAGAATTGTAGAGGCCACGTTAGCTCCATCAAAGTGTCTCTTATTACCTCGTACGGGGTAATTAGAGACACTTCACTTGTACGCTTGGGGTAAATAGAGAGACTTCATTCAAATACATGGAGTTTTAATGTACAATTTATCTAGCCACCATGTTACAATTAAAACTTATTGATTGTGACAATAATTGCTGGGGTTTCGGAAGCCCTTGTTGCAAGGATACGCACCCCAAAACCTTGCCATGGATTTCTTTTCTATTGCAAAGCATATCTCATAAAAGATGTTGCAACAAAAGTTGTTCTCTATGAAATTCTACATGTAATAAGTGGAACAGGTTTTTGTCTAATCACAAAAACTTTAAAAAGTATTAATTAAAAAATTTAAAATTAAAGATGTTTTCATTTTCATTTAACTTCGGTTTCAAAAAATTTTCTTGTATTCTGTTATGATCTGCCATTCCTGGCAGCTCATAAGACTATGTTCTCTTCTTCTTTTCCTTTCTTTCTGTTCTTGCGCAATACTTGTGTCATCCCTTGGTGGCATAACTGTTGTTCAACTTGTGTACTATATATAGCCGTTCACTTTATGCAAATAAAGATGAGAAGTGAGTGAGTAGAACCTCACATATTCCCGTTGCGCTTTTTCCATGTAGAATGACATCAGCTACAACTTCCACAGCGAAAAATTTTCTCGGAAATTCTTTGTTATCGCGCAATCGCTGCTAAGGTTTTCAAAAATTACGTTTATGCTTAAAAGTAGAAAAAACACTCTTTTTACAATGTTTCACTTAAGAAACGTATGTCGGTGGAAAACTTTTCAAAGCTTTTAAAGCGTATTATATACAACGAAAGATTGTTTACAAAATAACTCTACCGCGACGTTGATGGGACATTTCAATAAAAAAAATGAACGATTTTACAATACCATCGAAATCGAAATTTTAATTAAAATTTAAACTTAATTAAGTACATAACTCTGTGAATAGTTATCAGTTCATCGAAAAATCTGAAGGATACATGCAATCAGGTATGCTCTTCAAATTGACCTAGTTTGAGGGAACATTTTGGAGAGGTGGACCCCCGTCCCGCCTAAATTTGAGTCGTGATAGCAGAGACCCTATATGGCAGTCTCCTACTGTCTAAAAAAGAAACGTATTCTAACGTTTAAACGATTACCGAAAATGAAACTGTATGAAATGCTTATTCTCTTTCGAGCTCTCCTAAACCCTTTTTTGCTTTCGGGAACTATTTTTCTTTCATTTCATTTTTTTCTCTAGAAACTCCCAACAAAGCATTTCCACAATGGTTTGCAAACACTTACACATCTTAACTAATCATTTGAGAGTTTGACCCTTATCTTTCTTCTCAACAAGAATTCTATTATCCATTAGGAATAAAACAGGAGGCAAACCGAGGTATTTCACATCGTAGTAAGTGTTTTTCATTTTCTGCAAGACACAAATTGTTTGCCATAATTCAGAAATAAGATAGTTGCTTCTTGTACGGGGGACTCTGCTCAGGTAATTATCTGGATTTCCTCGGTGCTGAACAGACTTCGGTAGATGAAAACGTAACAAGAGTTAAGATTCTTTAAGTTAAAGCTGACTTTCACTGATAAAAATTGGATTTGTCATAAATGCTAAAGGAATAGAATAATTTTCACATTTTGATAATAAACAATATACAGCACAATTAATCGTTATACACAAAAAGAAGCCTAGTACAATTTTTTTCCAGAAGCTCTTCAGAAGAGAAATATGTTTTTTTCTAAACATGTTTAAGGCCGGAACGTAAAGGAGCAAATGTCACTGATTTTATCTGAGTAATTCTATTTTTTGTCTATCTTTTTTATAACAACAAAGAGCTATGCACGAAAAAAGAGAAAAAAAAAGGACACATTAGAAGACCCCTCCTTAATAAAGGTAGATTTTTTGAGAATTTTTGCAAACTTTTTTACCTCTTTGCACTTCCTTCAATATCCATCTCTGTGGCTGAAGTGCAATATTATTTCTCTGAACGAACAAAATGATGGGTTTCAAGAGTGTCTTTGAAAAACCCTAAAAGCTTAAATAGCAACGTATCTGCTTTTCACATTGGTAAATAGCACGTGTGAAGAACAAAGCTGTCTAGACCCTTGACCTCAAATAGTTTCATAATATATTCTATTCCAGTTGATTTAAGTCACTATATGCCGGCAAGTACAAAAATAGCACTACAGACAGCAACGTATCAAAAGTTGCTCGCACTGGCACAGGCTGCATTCACTTTTGGATTGCATGGTAGTAAAAAGAGATCGATCTGTTTTGTAAACATCTGCAATTACATAATATCTAGATGTTCAGGTATTCAGATGTTAAGATCTTCAGTTCTTAAAATTTACAGATACATAGATGTTCGGATTTTTGGGTATCTTCCTGTTTTCTTTCACGGTGGCGAATATCAGGGAGCGGCTCACTCTCATCTGCCCGCCCTCCCTTTTTCCCATTTCCAAAAGAATGCATATTTTCAATTTATACTAGGAAACCAAGCTTTTGTTCTTTTCTACCTTCTCGGAAAAGTACACATTTTGAATATATGCTAGAAAAGCAAGCTTTTCTGCTTTTCTCTCGCCAAAATTGTATGTCGATTTGTTTTCTTCACTTTTGGAGATCCGTCTGAATATCTAAAGATCGCAATATCTAATGATCTTTCCCAAAAAAATCATCAATGTTTCCAAATATCATAATTGTAGAAATCAGACCCTACTGAATAAAAACGTCAATTATGTAATTGCGCAGAGAAGACAATTTAAAAGATATATTGCCAATAAAGCTAGAAAACATTGTTACTGATCGATAAATGATAAACTCAGATTGATGATAGAGGACTTGACTCATATACTTACGGTTTTGGCTGTCTTGGCTGTATTGCAAGTGGTAAACCGGGTGGTCCTTGCGATTTTGGAAATATATCAACAAATAATTCCAAACGTCCCTGTTCGATTTCTGGTTGCAATAGATTATAGAGCGGTCGAGTTTCGACATGTTCCGGACATAAACTTAATTTGTGTAAAACATATAAAGCTAAACGTTCGATAGGAATACCAACATGGATTGTCAAATGTTTGCCCTGTTCTATTTTAAAAAACAGACTCAATTTCTCAGCTACAGGTAAGAATAAAATAATAGATCACATACCAAAGTCAGCAAGACGAAATATATTGTCACCAATTTTCATGGTATCCGCGCCTGTTATTACTGGCGCTGGCAAATTATTCCGTTTACAAACATCATATAGAATTTTTCTGGGAAGAACATTATCACGCCATTGATTAGGGCCAGAACTTAACAAAGGGAGAGATTCAGATTACAATTGGAAATCCGCTCAATCAAACCGAATAGACGTGTTTTTTGCATGAGAATGTTAGTATAGGCCAGACTGACAATGGCTAAATGGGATTTGAGAAACTAAGACTATTTTGAAGATATTGGAGCTCGGGTATAACAATGAAAATTAAACAAACTAAACGATTTTCTAGTACTCCAAAAACAGCACATTTTTTTGGACACCGAAGATGTTACATAAACCTTATCGAAAATCTTTTTCACTTTTTGAACATTGCGAGTAGACCCATAATATTTTCTGAATAAAGAGCAAAGACTTAGAAGGAATCTTACAAAATTTTTACGATTTTGAAACTCACTACTCAAGGACAGAAAATTCCTTTTTTTATACTGTGCTATTAGTTTTTCGAATATTGCCTATCCATATACAGATATTATGCAGGATCTATGCCTTAATGAATCCTCATTAAAAATATTCTGTTCCCGAGCATTCATAACCTGATGTAGAGTAAAAATTCATCGACGGATCAAGTGTACTCCTACCTGTACATTCTGGAGAAAGCTTTTTAGCGTATTCATAAAACTGTCTTTAGAATTCTAAATGCCGAAAAGGGTTTCTGAACGCTTGTTAACTGTTTTAATAGGTAGTTTGAAAACGTAGACCTGTTTTTTATATAGAGGTGGCTCATTATAATTACCATACCAAAATATAGTGCGGCTGACTGTTTTTTGAATAACTTTCTATAGGAATGAGATAGAGACCTGCGATTTCGCTATTCGATAGTCAAGACTTGAGCAGAACTGTTCGCAAGGGAAAACAACTTTTGAAAAAATTTCAAAGATCGGGTTTCCAGAGGATCTTTGGAAAACCAGCTCCGTTCTCAGAAAACTAACATATAATATTAGTAATTTTTTTACATGTGTAGATAGTTCGGACGTTACTCTACAAAATTATGCAAGTCCCGGCTCTCCAGCTATCTTCGTTCGGACAAAGCTCGCTTTCCCCGAGCACGTATCTGTCTCCGAGCAGAAATCTCTGGAAATCTCGAAATGCCATGGAGTATAGGTAATCGACTACGCTCAGCATAGTGGCCACATTTGCTGTTGTGCAAAAATGAATATAACTTCGCCAGAGGCATTGTTGTGACAAAACGGTTTTTTGCCTGTTACTATCAAAAATTAAAATCCTTATATCTCGATCAAATCTCACGCTGAGTCAAGGAGCCTTTCAGGAAAGACTTAAAGGGTGCCATATATTGTTGATCACGCTGAAAAAGTGGTCCAGCAGGACACTGACGCTTTGAGATTTTTCAGAAGGTTTCTGGAAAACCTTAAAACAATGCCCGGTTGAAATTCACCTTTTTCGTCTTCAATTATGCTTATGAGCCGTCCTGAGCGTTTCCTGAAAATTTCCTTCAGTCAGCATGAGATTTGATCGAGATATAAGGATTTTAATTTTTGATAGTAACAGGCAAAAACCCGTTTTGTCACAACAATGCCTCTGGCGAAGTTATATTCATTTTT